GCTCCGAAAGGAAGCACAGTCTGCCGACCCACTGACTGGTTTGACATTGTCAAATTCGTTTTCTTCAATTTTGTGCTTCATGCGGTGACCGTCAGATCGAGGCCAGGCACAGGTGGAGTAAAAAGGTGTGTTGATATAATCATAGCTATGTGTTTCCCACTTCTAGAGGCTGCAAGCGCAGTCCTCTCGATATATCGATTCTCGTATGGCGAGCGGAGCCCTCTAGAGACTACTCTTAGAGCAGGAGCACTGTGCATGATCCAAGAGCCGAAGGAAACCCGAATTGAAGAAAATGAAAATAGAGACGGACCGGAAACCCGGACGAAAGTCACCCGGTTTCCCTTGCGGCTTGAAGTTGATCAAGACTCGTATGAAAATTAAAACCTGGGCCGTTCGAAAACAGTGGATCCACTGCTAACGATAGTGGGCAGGAAATAGATCCTATATTAATCGAAATAAATGGCGAACACCCGGTGCAGAGCCCTGGGTACTAGCTGGGTGTTGTTTATCGTTGAGGAATTACTTAGGCATGGGCACACCGTTCCACCCTTCAGGCCAAATAGCTGGTCGCCCTGCCCACAACGTGCTGCCCAGCGATAGTCCCGTGGAGCCCGGATTTACATCAACTGACCCCGACCCGATTTCCGAGACAAGTGGGCCTACACCCGTTGGGTCTAGCACCAGGGATTATGCGGCGTGCCGTTTAATAAAGGTCCCAACAGACTTTGAGGTCTTTCCCTTGCTCAACGTCAATCTCCCCAAATCCAAAACCTTGACGCCTTCAATATTTAACTACCACGGAGAGACCTGCCGAGAAAAGCAAAACCAGCAGTCAGAATTACCCAAACTGGCATATAATTACAATATTATCACGTATCTTGCGGCAATCGGCCAGATTATTTATGGTTCCTATCAGCTCTATATATATAATGTCAGTGGGGACCAAATTTCGAATTTCGGTGTTGGTAGCTATTCGTTCGCCGTCATACCATATTTAATCATGTCGTTAATCAATCTACTGGTAGCCCTCTTCGAGCCTACGTACCCAGCAATGTTTCTAGTATTCTACGGTGGTCCCAAGAGACCCACAGCCGTAGAAGGCTTGGGCTGCATGTCGTAGTGCACACATACGGCCTCCCGAGAGTTCCATATATGAAGGATCAAGAGGAGTTGGAACAAAAGCTCGGCGGGGCAGTCGGAATTGTTTACGGAGAGACTGTTACGACAGGACCACGCAAATATGTTGGGAGTTCCTGATCCAAGATTCTGAGTAATATAGTCGCATTGCCAGAGGGATCTGTCGCTGACATAGGGTGTAGAAAGAATACTTGCTGATTTGCCTTTGTTCACTCCTCATACTTCTCGCAGTCGCAGCACCATACATAGTTATCATCTCGATGATGTATGGAAAGCGCGATGTCAAGCAGGCCGAATTGTTTATTCCCATGGATACCACAGTTTCCTTACATCCTAAACCACGACCGGAAGGCGCCATTCTGGGCAAATATTGGCTGTTCATTTAGATTTTCTACGGTCAGTTCTTAGGCTTCACGGCTTTCGCCGCTATGAACCTTAAGATTAAAATCTTAGAACCTCGGGGGATCCCACACGGGCTCAAACGTCTCTTGTCGGTTCTTATGCTAGAGATTCGTCTAGGTACAACGTTTCTTATTTTATTTTGCGCGATTGCGTTACCAATCCTCTGTATTACCGCTACTGTACTATTGATAATCAGGGACCAGATCTGCTTTAAAGTGTAGTCATGTTATAATATTCATGTTTCCTTTCTCACGTTTCCAACTGCTCTAATTCAACCTTTCAACTAAGGCTAAAATGGAAAATCACAAACCGCGTTTGGTCTTCCTTTGGAGATAATGTAGTATGAAACGCAGTCATGGTATTCATAGATACTGCTTCTTTGAAGAATAATCAAATTGTTTCATAGATCGAACGCTTAACAGAATAGAGAAAAACTAGATTAAGAAAAAATTACTCAAAGAAATAGGTAACGAGAGAAAGTGTATATTCAGCCTTACCACTCCGCTGAGCGATTGAGTAGATATAATACAAAAAAAATAAGCAATTATGAACTCTTAAACAGTTGTAGTCACCTCCTGTTGGGTTTCGTTGTTCTTTGCCCAACACCATCTGCCGCACATTTGAGATGCCTTGGTGCCCCCCCTGGGCATCGTGGTTCATAGATATATCTGCGCAAGATGAGCCATTGGTATCCATTATCATATAGGCCATTGGAAGGGCTTAGCGATATACTTTTCCCTACACTAATAGGATAGTACGCCTTATCTCACTGCGCCTCTATCGGCACAGGGTTAGGGTTAGGATTCTCCGGGCACTGTCGCGTAGGATACGACTACATTTATTATCGGCTACGTATGGCAAAACTGTGGACTCATGGCAAGACATAGGTGTGTCATTAAGCGAGATAAAACTCGAAATTCTCTTAGTCTTTCTAATACATCAAGCATCTCTTGTCATCGATTAGTTTAGTCATCTATTAGCCATTGGAACACAGCACGCCTTACATACCGGTCAGAGTTTGGGGTCTAGGCTGAGGAACCTACAGGATCGATGTCTATGGTCCTTATAAGTCAGTCTACTACCGCGCATCCCAAAGGTTTTATCGGTCAACTAAGATAGTCCGGTTCGACACCCCCACTTAAGTAGCTACTTGTTGTCGCACACTACAATCTACGTCCACACTTTCATGCCCACACGGAACAGAGGCGACAAGTTGAAGAAGCGAGTGATTAACCATGACCGAATGATGTTCTATGATCCAGCGCCTTTCGTAGCTCCAGTGCCCACGCCAATAGGCTTGAGCCCCTTTCCGTACACTTATTAATACTAAAGAATATCAGCGGGACATCAATTGTAACTTCGCGCTAATTATCATTGATCAAGGTTAACTTTTATCTTTGAAGGCCCACTTGATAAATATCGAAATACTACAGTACAAGTATTTGCTACATACCTAAATTATAAAGCTACAAAATAAAAATAAAAAATTTATTCCTATTTTCAAAATCTCTACTCTGAAATCATTGCTTTTATTCGATCAGTCCATTTTCTAACTCTGTTAGCGTGTGTGGAAACAAATTTTTATTTCACCACCCTTGTGAGAAATTAAGTATACCTGGATAACAAAACATCCGCGCATTAACAGCAAAACAACCCCTAGCTACCTTAGCACGACACACATTTTAAGAGTCATGAAGCATTCAGATAGAGATAAACCAGCTTCCAAATTCAACAGAACCCCTTCGTAGCTAGAACCCTTTCATAGCCAAGCTGGCCTAAAACTTGATTTCGCGCTATTCTTTCCCACTACCGCACTAGATTGTGAATCAGCAAATTATCTCCGCTTTTCCTAACGCCTTCCAACCCCGCGCTCTCTCAAAGCCGCAAAGACCGGCGAAGATCCCGAACTTGAGCCCTGAGGTTATAGCCTACGTGGACATCATGTGACGTCACGCCTCATAGGGCGTCAGTTTACTGATCGAGTCATTGACGTTTGCCTCGAGCCATCCGGATTCCCCGTAACCATAAGAGAACCTACTCCAGTGCATGCATACTATATATCTTAAGTGTATGGGGTTCCCTCTTCCGTCTGTCATCAGATTGACGACTCCAAGACTAATTATTTGTCCATATAACGTGACACGTCCAACAGCAGTAATGATTAGCGATATGTGGCCATCCACATGTATACTAGGTTTAAACAGGTAAGTATGTAGTTGGCCTATCATGTATAAACTATGCCTTGCACGCACCACATATACATACATATTTCATCGAGACCCAGATATGTATATCGGAGAAAATCACCGGAAATAAAAACAGAACGCTGCTAAACCCTGATAATCCACACAAACTTGGGAGACCTTGGGGTGCCCCCCCCCCCCCGTAGATATTGGAAAAGTCAGTCTATCCTATTTCGGTGAGTAAGATCGAGGATTTTACTTGGTAGAGGAGAACAAAAACAACTCACAGACTACCAGTTAGCCACATGACTCAGCCTATTGAGCACAATGTGAAATGACTCGAATGTCCTGTTGTGCCCCTCATATCATCTGCCGGCGAAATTTAAGACATTGCATTTCTCTGACCCACGTATGACATTAGGTCTATCGGCGACGCCGTTGTAGACACCATAGGATTCTTTCAAGAAATCCCTACCCCCAAGACATCTCTATACGTGCGCTTTTGTTTCTAGAAGCCAGTCGACCTTCTATTTCGTATGGTGCTGTACTTCGGCCCCCTGCATAGGCTTTTGAGATTCCGTTTAAATGCTACACAAGTGCTGAACTCCCGCTTCCTCGATTTCCAGGTAATATGGAGCCATGTCTCATAAGAACGTACAACTCTGGGTAAATAGGCTCATCGATTCAAATACCTTCCTCCATCCCGGCGCATCCGCTCTCAGTGTAATTATCTCGAAGCATTCGTCCCACTACCGTGTATCAGGAACACTCCCGCACAGCGTATCACATATGGCCAGTCAAGGGTACACCAATGCATGTTCCCGAATACGATAGCAAGGTTCATACGACGATAAACATACGCCTTCCTATAGTTGATGTATACGTAGTTCAACTTACACAGTTAAATCGCGGTTACATTGATGTTACATCCAGGCATATAAGCCAATTCGTGATAAGTCGAGGAAACTTTGATTTAAGGCGGTAACTACCCCCCCCCCCCCCCCCAAATACCCAACTCAAGCCTATCCCTCGCTCAACATAGCTACCCAAGCTCCTTTCCAAATAAGAATTGGCAATGACACCAGCAGAATTCAGGCAGTAGGTTCCGCCTGCATGATGCAATCTGATGATACATGTGTGTATTTCTGCTAATTTTGTATTCTTTTACCGAACAGGCAGAGAGCGCGCCAGAGACGAGCAGCTCAGCTTCCTTGGATAGCGAATCCTTTCGCAAAACTCCGTACTCATCCAAATCTTTCAAACCATGATCAACCAATAATGACACTTCAGTCACCCCAAGATAAGCGGGGTGCTTCTACTGAAGATGTAATTGGACCTGCAGATGGGCCTATGAAGAAACCGGAAGAGAAGAAAACTGAGGATACCGCTGAAGCCGAGGAGGTTGAGGAAGCCACACCGATTGAGTTATTCTACGATTTATTCTTTGTTGCAAATCTAACAACCGTAACATCAGTGCACTATATCACTGAATCCAAAAGTAATTCCACTCTTAGGCTTAGTGAAACAACCTCAATAGCTTGCTAATATCATCGTGACAGCGCTTTCTTCCTATATTCTATACTTTATCATCTTATGGTTTACCTGGCTCCATGTTACACTTCTGGATGTGAGATTTTCCGTTGACTCGGTTTACGAGAGGATATGCAAAGCCCTTCACTTTGCGGTAATGGGTGCATTTGCGTCAGTCTCAACAACATGGGATCCATTCAGTCCGGACGACGATATTACCATCACCGCTTTGAGGACGATGACCCTCACTCTTATGTTCTCAAGATTTATTCTGAGTATCCAGTATTTTGTTGTCATGTATTTCGGGAGGTCAAAACCGAGAACTATCGTTCCGCTTGCTATTCATGGCACGGTCATGATTATTTCAGCTTCTGTCTATCTCGGTGTAAGATATAATCCCCCCATAGTGCCGCGTACTGAGAGACTTCAGAAGAAGCGGATCAAAAATGAGCTCGGTTTAGACCCAAATTTGAGCTTGCCTATTGATCTTGTGCCTTTAAGTCCTCACATCCTTAAGTCCGCCAGGCGCTGATCTAATCTAGATTTATTTCTCATTCCGTCATGGCCACACCGAGAAATACTACCTATCCTGGTACAAGACCACTCTTTTGAAACCCCTCTTGGCACACGTTTGCTGACACTTGCCGTACTTTCTAGGTATATAATGGCAGCCTTTGAAGTGATATCTGTCATCACTACATCGTCGATATGGGGATGTGTTAGTTTTAAAAGGACCCATTTAATTGAGCGAATGGGACTGTTGACTTTGATTATCTTGGGGGAGGGCATCATCGTCATGTTAAAGGCCATAAACACAATTGTCAAGGGATTCGGTTGGACCTGGACTACCCTTGGAGTGGTATCCTCTTCAATTGCTTTAATTGTGTGTTTTCATTTCCCACCATCATTTTCTTTTGCCGACGTTTCACTCTAGCTCTTATGCCTGGCCTACCTCACCGCTCACCATTCCATCCGTGTTGCAATTATCCTAGTGTGACCATGTTACGAGGGACTACTATAATATTCTACGGCTAATAATTCTTTATGACACAGTATCTATATTGGATGTTCTACTTCGATTTCAATCCAATGAAAATCTATTACGGGAGGTTCAGACAACAGCTTTGGACCCTTCTCCACTTTCCATTCCATCTAGCCATCGTACTCTCTGTTGAGGGTCTACGACAGCTCGCCACTCTGAGAAATTACGAGCTCATGGCCGACGATATGATGGGGAAGTTTACTGGACCTACGAGGCCAAATAATCGATCCCACATGATAGACCAGTTCAACGATGCGTTTGCCCTTTTCTACAACGATGATTACGCCAAGACGGTTCTCAAGGAGTGGCCAATTGTTACGAATTGGACGAATGAGCTGGAAACCTTTATGTACAATTCCGTTCTACAAGATGGGGATCGTGAGTTCATGGAAGCATACAACGACCTGTATAATGCACTAGTTGCAAAGCTCGCTTACTATCTCAGTGAGTTTTACGGATTCAAGTTCCCGTATCGGAAGCCCGAGGACTCTGGCGACAGGTTCAGCGGATTCAGGCAGCTTTTCGACCTGGTCTTTAAATACTTCTTCCTTTCCCTAGGAGTTGTCTTTATCATGTACGGCGTATTTGCAATTCTTGTGCGACGTCGTTTGGATGTCTACGACTGGATATGCGTGGGTCTTCGATTTACCCCGGCGGTAGTCTTCTTCGCCATGTCCGAGGTATCTTCAACAAGCGCCCTCTACTCCTCAGGAGGCGGATCATGGCCTATTCCACAAGTTTGTGTCTTGATATTCATAGGTAGTGCTTCCGAGTGTTCATTTTTAGCTACTAGTCTCTTATATAATTATATTAACCATCACCTTAGTCCTCCTTTCAGACAAAGCGACTCAATGGTTTGGCGCCTGGCGCTCAGGAAGATGAAAAATGATTTTTCTTATTATGCTTAATGGCTCTCTTTATATGATCCAACATGACACCTCGCTTGATACAATTTTACAGTGAGCATTATATGCATCATTATTCCAGATAGCATTTTGACCATACTCTTGAAACAAGGATACCGAGATTGTGACACTTTGTTGATTTAGCTTATGTAGCTTATTTGAAGAAATATTATGGCAGTAGGAATCACAATACAGGTCTACCTGTACAGATGAGCCGGGATTTTCCCCCAACGCAGATATTGCGAAAGAGTTCTATATTTCCTCCCTCAATTTATATCGCCTTCAACCCTCTCCTAGTCCCTATATATATACTATGGTCCCTCTCCACCGTACCAAGCATCTAGACCCAGGATATCCAGGGGCCATTCGAGCCCTCTCTTGATATATGAATTAATATAGGGCAGTCGCTTGTATGTATTATGTTCCCTATACCCGATACTGGCCTGCATTCATAAAAAGTAGCTACATCCATATAGATTGATGGGGCAACTAATTAATTAACGGCATCACGACACACTGCATAAATACATACATACGTCAATACCTATAGTCTATAGGCAACAAAGACGTTCCGTGATGAAAAACACCGCTAAGATTCTAGTCAAACATATATATTATGCAGCGAGCCTCTTTTTAGCTTGAATTGACTTTTCCAGTATCTAGGACATAGTTCCCACCGCAACATAGGCAGCCCATTTGATCGGATGTCAGGTAACCACATATGGAACTGTGCTGCGCTCCGTCGCCGTCCAAAAAAGTAAGTACTTTTCTAGAATGGGACCATATATTATGGTGGGTGACCCGGGGGGAACGCACCATCCGTTTTCATGCGTTATGCGGGTAGCGGCGTAATCAGCGGGGGTTGCACGGAGTAACGGTGAATCTGCGGGGTGTCTACCCGCACAACCATGCAAGAGCGGCCAAACCACTGCATGCTCCTAAAAAAGGCCCGGGATACATATTTCTCCCGGAAACATTTCCATGTTCCTTTCTCTATATCTTGTGAGTATCCTATCTGTATTCTATCAAGATTTCTACATCGCACCGGGGGGGTCCGGCATCTGTCCCGCGCACGTGTTATACATCGCGCAGAAAGCTTGACATCTAATGCGCATACGTAGGAAGTAATGCCACATATATAGCCTCAATCAATCCACCAAAAGGATACCACGGCGGGCTTATTATGGGCTACGCTACAGGCCCTCTCTGTTCAGATGCAGTCTTTCGTTTTCGTTACACTCGCGATCTTCGGATCCCTGATCACAAGCTCTTACTGCCATATCACACCCCCCAACCAGTCGCTCGTCCCATCAAAACTACTACTTAGTCGTGATACGAATGGGCTACAGGAAAATGTATATCGCCTTCTTAGCACGCGTTGTCTCACTTTCACTATGCTAATGTTGGGATCTCAAGGTTACATGGGATAAATATTCGATGTCGGTGAACGGAAAGAGGCTCTATGTATATAGCGGAGAGGTGAAATTCCAACGCCCGAAATAGGTAAAACGCTCCATATAGATGCATATTAACCCTCGATGTTATGTGTTTAGTTTCACCCTTGGAGGTATGCAAAGCTGTCACCCACACCCTATGTGCAGTTGTGCACCACTGCTAAAACCCTAACCCTAGACTCCCGGTCATTGACCTTTGGCTGGATATTCTGCACAAATTGAAAGCACTTGGGTACAATGCCGTCTCGGTATATGTTCACTGGGGTCTAGTTGAAGCCGAACAGGGAGTCTTCAACTTCAATGGTATCTTCAACTGGGAGCCATTCTTCGACGCAATAAAGAAAGTAGGGCTATATGTTATCGTCCGGCCGGGGCCGTATATCAATGCCGGTGAGTTGACCCCAATCGATATAATTTAACTAGATCGTCACAAAAGGATTGTATCTCACCTGAATTATACACTCTAATTCTCATCATCATCGTTCAGAATTGAGTGCCGGTGGCTTTCCAGGCTGGCGCCAACATGCCCCGGAGGGAATCTACTGGCGTGTAAGCAACGAGGCCTATTACAAGCAAATAACTCCGTACATCAATGAAATCAGCCGGCGACTGGCGCCACACCAGATTACAAACGGGGGACCGATTATTTTACTCCAGCTAGAGAACGAACTCTCGGTGGCAGCTGCGCCAGGATATGACTGGCCGGCTAATCAATATATGGAATATCTTCGGGAGACCTTCATCGACGCTGGTATCAATGTTCCTCTCATTCATAACGACGTTGCACATAATGGTTACTATGCTACCTCGGGGGTTATTGATATCTACACCTATGACACATATCCAATCAGTATGCACAAGGAATGCATATCTCCGTATAATTAATTGTGACTGACATTGTTTAGCTTGTTCGAACTGGAACGGAGCACTGAGCCAAGGGGACTGGGACAAGCATTTAAGCTTTGCTCCAGGACATCCTCATTTTCTAGGAGAGGTAAGAGGCGTCCAAACGTCGTGTCAAATAAATGCTGAACCTTATGTCATAAACCGTAGAATGGCGGCGGGTTCTATGCCCAATGGACGGATGCCAACAATAACTGTCCTTCATTTATGGATCCATTCGTGTTTCGTCTCATGTATAAGAACCAATACTCAATGTCTGTGACAGCGATGAACATTTACATGGTAATTCTCAAAAGCTCCCCAATTTCAGAGGACAGTGGAAGTTTAACCATCTTGTTTTTCGCAGATTTACGGCGGCACAAACTGGGGTCATCTTTCATTCCACAGAACCCCCACAACATATGACTTCGTAACCGCAATATCGGAAGATCGATCAATTACCAGGGAGAAGTATTCCGAGATGAAGCTCCAGGCACATTTATTTGCTGTCTCGCCTGCATTCCTAACCACCAGACTTTTGGTAAAGTCGACGAATTCTTATACTAGTAATACTGAGGTCGTTGTTTCGTGTACAAAGGATGAAATTGGTAATAAGACCGCTTTTTGGACTGTGAGGTAATCGACCTATAGCGCATGACTGTAGTCTGTGGGAGGGTCTAATCACATCATTTTTAGACACTCAAGCCCGTTATCGCCGAATACTTCTCAATTTAATTTGACGATTCCTACAAGTAAAGGGGAAATTACTATTCCACAGCTCTCAGGCACTCTTACCCTCCCAGGGAAAGACTCGCGGGTACATGGTGTTCTAATCTTCCCTCATAGTATAACTTACTAACCCCTTTCCTAGATCTATTTAACAGATTATAAACTTGGGCCGTACAACATGCTCTACTCCTCTGCCGAGCTTTTCACATGGTGAGCCTTCTCCCCTTCTTACCTATTATCCTGTGCCCATTATTTACACCTATACAGGCAGAAAATCGACGATACTTACGTTGCGGTTCTCTATGGCTCACCCGGAGAAATCCACGAGACTGCATTCACCTTCCCTGGCAAAGCACCTAATATAACTCTTCTAGAAGGCAACGCACTTCTTGATAAGCAGATAAGTAATGACACCGCTATCTTGAACTACAACTCAACTGGACAATCCGTTGTGTCAATCGGCCCAGATATCAAACTTTACCTCCTCGATAAGTTTGAAGCGTATAAATTCTGGGTTTCGGCACTCTCATGCGGTGGAGAGGGAAATGTCATTGTCAAAGGGCCTTATCTTGTTCGTGATGCCTGTATCATTGATTCAACCCTTCATGTTTCCGGAGACACCAACGCTACCGCTCCAATAGAGGTGATTGCGTCCAGCAAAATCAGCTCAATTAAATGGAACGACAAAGAAATCAGTACAACTAGATCGGCCACCGGCAGTCTTATCGGGTTAATCACATTTGCTAGCCCGGAACTCGACATTCCTGTTCTGAGCGAACTGGAATGGGTACGCTCATCATTTCAGGACTAATCTCTAAGTGATTCTTCTGACATCAATGTATCATAGAAATCAATCGACAGTTTGCCGGAAGTCACCTCGGGTTACGATGACTCGAAATGGGTAGACGCATCAAACACCACAACTGTCAATGGAGTCCGCAATTTAACGACTCCCACGGATCTTTACTCGGGAACATACGGGGTAGAGAAAATTTCGTACCCTAAATAGATATATGTCAGCTAATCAAGGCCTATAGTTCCATACAGGATATATACTATACAGGGGCCACTTCACCGCTACCGGGAACGAAACCGAATTCTACATTCAAATGCTAGGTGGATGGGGATTCGGATATTCTGTCTGGCTCAACGACATTTTTATTGGCTCTAATACAGGATCAGCTTCCAGTCATGGTGGTCAAAGTACATTCACATTTAGCCAGTTGGCAGCGGGGACAGAGAATGTAGTGACAATTATCTATGTCAGTATTTCTTCAAACATTGGTAAATGCGAATTACTCACAAACAAGTTGATAGCAACAAATGGGATACAATGAGAACGAATCAGGCGGCATTACAGTAATAACTCTACCCCTTGTTTCGTCGATAATATAATAACGTTTGCCTAATTTACAGAATCCGCGAGGTATCTGGAACTACAATTTCGGGAGTGCAACACCAGCTGTCACTTGGAAGATCCAAGGAAATCACGGAGGTGAAAACGTATGTAATCAGAGGAAACGACCCCATGGTTACAAACTCACCACTAACACTGCCTTAATCCTCATCTAGTATGCGGACAAAGCACGTGGACCCTACAACGAAGGAGGTACATATGCCGAACGAAAAGGTAAAAAATGTCCAGCATTGATTCTCTATTGATACTCGAGATCTTTAATATGTGGAACCTAGGCTTTCACCAACCTGGTGTCGATACGACTTCTTGGCCGACGCTCTCTCCGTTCAAGGGCACGGAAACCGCTGGCGTGCAGTTTTACACGTATGTTCACCCCTATAAACCAAGGCATCTCTTTTTCTCTCTGCTTACACCATCTGCAGTACTGAGTTTGAACTGAAACTGCCTCCTGGTTATGATATCCCCTTGTCATTCAATCTGACTGCCTCGGCGGACTCCCGTGTTTTGTTTTTTGTGAACGGATACCAGTTCGGGCGATACAGTAAGTCCTTCAATTTATGTATACTAATGATTGCTGCGCCGCTAACCTACCAACAGTTGGGAACTTTGGGCCACAACATTTATTCCCTGTACCTGAAGGTATACTAAATTATCAAGGGGAAAACACAGTTAGCGTGGTGATATGGGCTCAGGGCGAGGCGGGTGCACATATATCGGAGTTCTCTATTGTGAAAACGGGTGTGTATCAGACAGGACTTGGGAAGATTAGGAGCTCTCTCCAGCCGAGATACCTTGAGAGGGGGGCTTTCTAGTGTAAAGCGAAAATTTCGTTACGTCAACTTGCCTACTCTAGAGATTTTCCTTGCTATTAAACAGGTCATAGTCATTATCATCACTTATATAGCTAACAAGACTCTAAATATATCCCTAGGAATATAGGGCTATATATAGCCATGTGTATTAAATCCAGTGAGAGTAAGCTATCCAATTCACAAAGCTTTATTAGGACCTACGGGCCATCTTCAGGTTACTGTGAACGACGCAAAAGCCCAGGGTGCATCGAAATTTGGGGGTTTAGATCACTGGCTCAATGATTTCCCATTTCCTCCAGTACGTGATTACCTTCAAGTGACAGCGGTGAAAAAACCCACCCGCCCCAGAGGAACCCCCGATTATTACCACAGCCAACCATCTCTAAAATCTAATTCCCAACACTTACGGCCAAATCGCAAACTCACCCTGCTATTATTATATAGGGCGCCACATATCACTAGGACCTCGAACCCAGCCAGCACCAGATCCCTTCGGTTTTGAATCCATCAATATTTCAGGTTTGAAGGCCTGTTGCCAAAGAAACGAATCATTATTATGATTACTGGTATCGTAAGCAGGTTCTCAAGGTCAAATCTGGTTTCGGGGAGAACGCCACAATATTTACCCGTACGATCGCTTTGATGGGTTATCCCGCGGAAAAGCAAATTCAACATCATATTTCTATGGATGAAGATCTACCGTTGGACAAGCACCTGCGTATGATCGATATGGTCACGACAGCCCACGCCTCCAGCGGCCATCGTGTCAAAAGAATCTCGCATTCAACACATACTATGTCGGTACCCCAATTCCCTTCTCTCCATTTATCAACCTTAAATAACTAAGCTGCTGACCCACGGAGATGTCATAAAATTTGGGATTCTCGAATTAGTTCATGCACAAATCACTACCTCAGCACTGCTCCAAGGTTGGTAACACGGAAGATAACGTTATCTGAGTTGTCGGTAGACCCAGAATTCACGTAAACTATCTCGATTAACGCTATTCTTGCCTGCAGTCACTGCCCTCTAACACATTAATCATATATCCTCCTTGCCAAGCAAGAAACCCTAATACTCCGAGGCACATCTCTCCTTTCCTAGTAGTTCCTACGGCCTATAAATCTCTTAGAAGCCCTCTCCTAGAGCTTGAAGTGGCAAGACCTAGCCCTGCCGACCCCCGGATCAACTGAATATTTGGTTCTCAATCCCAATATGCATAGTCTCACTTCCGTACCAGAGCCCTCGGCCTCACCTCCAGCATATGAGGAGGTTGATAGTCTTACCACGAACCTTCCTACATATAATAGGGTTGATGTGGGCAAAGATGAGACGGGAATTATTGGCAAGACCCTGGTACGAGCTCTGGCGGGCCTGGCTAGAGGTTGACAAAATGCTACAAAACCCTGGCCCCGTGCAGATTATGTCAGGTAAAGTACACAACGACCAATTTAGGAAACTGTATTGAATGGTGTATTAATAATATTAACTCCTTGCCCGTTAAAAAAAAGAAAAAAAGGAAAAACGTAAATTCCCATTTGCCTACGTTCCAGAGTTTGCTGAAGGGACGAGACAAAACTGGATTGATGGTAGTCTCTTTCATGTTGTGATTGTACTAGCCAACTGTTCCCGGTCCTGAGACAGGAATATAGTCTTGCTTCTGGTCTTGCGGTCTTGTGGAGCTGTGACAATGTGTGCAACAATAAAGGTCCCAGGGTTAGGGTTGTTTGAACCCGCCTCCCCCAACCCTTTGATTAAGAGCACTGGCAAAAAGTCCTGTGATATATAGGCCTCAAGCTAGCCCAAATGAACCTCTTTCCAGTCTTGCCCCCTTGCTGTCCTCTCAGGTATTTCCTCGTCTCGAGATTAAATCTCAAGGCAAAGTCCCAAGTTATCTCGCCCTGTGCCCATCACTAGAGGATGTTTCCTTTTTTCTGATGAATTACAGTCGATGGAGTTGCCGGGATTGCCAATACTTAAGCCATGCGTTGTGCAAAGTCTTCAGACTTAGGGTGAGGTATCGAATTTTGTGCGGCGGGGATCGGAACTTGCTGCCCAGGCAGACACCCCAAAATTAAAATTCCGGCAGGATCTCCGAGGTTCTATAAGGTTATGTGCCTGACCCCTCACGTTTGACTTATTGATTAACTCATTAAGTACAGGTAATTCCTTCGTTTGATGCTGGTGGCTGGGTCATAGTCAATCACTCGCATATTTCCAAAAGACCCGAGACTAGGCTGTTTCATGTTTCGTCTTACTTGCGCGTTAATTAAGTAGTCGAATATCGTTGCAACCAAATGCTTACTAAAAGTTACGACCTTTTAGTTAACGACTGAGTATTTCGCCTCCTCTTTTCCTAGCTATATATGTTTTGTTTTGTCTCGTGTCTTGAGACAGTCTCGAGACTTTTTGTCTTGTGCTCATACCATGCATGCCCTGAACTTTACTTCAGAATTAAACAGGCATATCCGCCCAATATTCACATAGTCATCCTTAAGTCATCATTAGTCTCGTACCCATCCCCTACTTAGCAGCAAGCTGCTCACCAGTAGGGTCTGGAACATTATCTTCCCGACAAATGTCGACCGACACTCTCGTCGGCCTCGGGAGTGTGATATCGGACTCGGGAATTATGATGTAGGAGCCTTGCGATATAAAGTCCGACAATGTGATCTAAGAGCCGACAATACGAGATAGAAGCCAGACAATATGATATAGAAGCCAGACCTGTGATATAGAAGCCCGACTTGTGATATCAAAGCCCGAAACGTGATATTAGGGTCAAAATAAACCTTACTTTTGATGTCAGAAGCTAAAAAATACTTGATTTTCTGTATGTAAATTGAGCCTGACAGCTACCCCGACAGCCCGACACCCCATACAAAAAGATCTCACCCAAGTCGTAAGATACATGCATGCACCAGTACAGGACTACATGTAGCCTGCTAACTATGTACTTAACTACTAGGGGTATGCCACCTCGCGTCCACGAGCTGTTGGATTCTGAGGATTGAAAATATTGGAATATTGGGAGGTATTCGATGGAGTGGACTCCCCCCACCTACTCCCTCCAAATCCTCCAACCCCCCCCCCCCTCCACCGTGCTCCACCCCCTCGATCCAGCTCCTCCAGCTCCTCCACCTCCCTCCTCCCCTACCTCTTCCACCTTCCACCGCCTTCCACCTCCTCCACCTCCTCCACCTAGTGCTCCCAGTCATATCATATCATATCATTAACTTAATTACAATTAAACATAGACCTTTTTAAATAAATATAATTATACAGAGACCTTTTTAAATGAATATTCGGGCGTGAACCGTAGAGCTTCCGTTGCTCAGCAATGTCATAGGATTTGGTGTGGTGGACCGGTTGCCATGCAGGAGTCAGTCAGGGTTAGGGTCACAGCTCTCGACCAATCAGATGCCAGAGAGTTCAGAAAAATCGTTAATCTAGTACCTAATAGAAGATAATAGACTATGGGTTAGCCTCAATAAGAGACTACCGAACCTGTAACCATAATGTGGAAGCCACTTGTACTTATCATAGCTACGTACTTTATACCACGAGAAGAGGACTTAATCCTCTTCTCCATCAATCAAGACTCGATCTTACATTACAGTACGCGACTTACAACCAGCCCGTCCGCTGGAAGCATGAAAGCAGACGGGTTGGGGACGAGCCTAGGTCATCCATCACCTAGCTTGCTGGGCAGCTCAATTAAGCTTGGATTTCGACCGTCAAGCAGTTATCCGTTCTCAATTTTGCCAGGTTTCTACTTTTCAAGAATTGCGATTTAATTTGCAGTGCCAGCTGCCCTCCAGATAAAGAGAGTAGGAGTACGAGTCGCGCCATGCATGCATGCGCCATAACTCAATTATAAAGATACTAGAGTACATGTACCTGAGCTCCAGCTGCAGGGCGTTGCTAAGCTCCAGTCACTACATCTTGGCAATTCTTATGATGTGGAGTACTCTAGAGTAGATCTAATTATATACAGCTATCGGTAGAATTATTGCGGAGACAGGGGCCGACGATCACGCCGAGAGCAGGGCAATTTTTCAACGCCACACCTCCGCAATAATTCTACCGATAGCTGTACGTCGGGATCTGCCAAGCCCTCACGCTTTCCCAATCCCAGCCACTATCAGTTAGATAAACCTGTCCTAGATCGCGTAGGACCAACACGAACCCGTTTTTCATCAAATGGATCAACAAACTCCCAACACCCCTCAGAGCAAACTCCCATCAAGCGATGGCATCGACTTCTGCAACAAATACTTTCGAGACAATCCACCCTCATCCTGGACGTATCGAAGCTTTCTCTCTCATTACTCTACCTTAGTACCACCACTTCGACTCGACATCGTGAATTCGCGCTATCTCAAAGCGCTCGAGAAGATTGAGGATTCCCCGGAAGAAAGCGCCGATAGGAAGAAGAAGGCACGGTCGCTGATTGACAAGCATAGGAATGCTGTAAGCTCGCTTTCTTCTTTCCCCAAGCTGTCCGCTCTCCTTCCACCTCAAGTGCATCGGGCCCGGCTTCCCCCCCACTGGACGCAGGTTCTAAATCGGATGCCCGGTCCTGTCCAGTGGTTGGGTTATTTATTGGCTTGCTGACCGTAATCAACACATAATTTAGCATCAGCAGCACTCCAATGCACAATCTAGTACCAACGAGGTCGTCCCAAGTTTCGTCGTTCACGGCGATATTATTCACTCAGGCCATGATGTTTCAATTCACAACGGCAATCGCACCACCACTGTGAGAAAACGGGAGTCTTCGTCGACCGCCGGTCGTGCCAAACGTAGGGCACTCACCGCCTCTTTAAATCCGGATCGTCCTCAAAGCCCCGATAACGTAGCAGAATCAATTGATGATCCTGTTTGCCTGGGAGATATGGTTGAGGCCCGTAATGATGTCCAAATTGTCAATGGCGATCGCGTAACTGTACGACATCTTGTCACTTCTTTAACCTGACGCCCGTATCTCTTTATTCCCCATATGTACTAACTGTACCCAGACTATTCTAGATACTGATGACGACGTCACCGATGCCCAGCCTGTATCTGCGGATCCTGCCCATCCTCGCCAGTCCATAGACCACCCGCAGCGACTAAATCGAACGAGTGAGAATTTGTGCGACTTTGACCCCGATTATGGCGAGTTCTACTCAGGCTTTCCATTCCTGAAAAACCAAAGACGTTTTACTACTTCAGGCCGAGTCCTTGAGGAGATTATATACGACAGAGTTCAAGACAACGGTGACAATGTATCGTCACTCGAGGGCAACCCAATCCTTCGTTGTATCCTTGACCTTGATGACGACCATGTCTCAAGTTGGTTCAAGGCGTCTGAGCTAGCAGAGCTGCGCGGGTCTCTGCCGCCGTTACCAGAAGTAGACGAATCATTCAAGTATGCTGTCCGTAGATTTTCTGAAGCCACGACCGTTCAGGAGTTGTGGAGTGTTGTGGAGTCCTCGCCCCGTCCTCCAAGTGAGCTCTATGACCGCTCAAGGAACTTTGACGCCACCTATGTCAACACTGCGGCTGGTTCGATGTAGGTGTCTTTTGCATTACGTCGATACCCCCATAACTTCCGTGTGAGCTTACCTTAATTGTAGACTCTCAATGATGGAGTCTCTCAAATCATGTGAGTGGCTGGGCCCGCAGGCGCTTCGCGAAGGCTGGTTTGGTAGCAATGTGTGGGGCCCTATTGTTGATCGAAGTCTCCTTGGCGTTGATAACCTCGTTGTCTCACGGTGAGCTTCTCTCTCCCATGATTCGTATCAGCTCTAATCACAGAAACATCCTACAGTACTGAGATTAAATCAAAATCAGAGCTGAAAGACAACAAACGGTTTGATGCAATTATGCTTGCTCTCGCCGGTATCGAGGTCAGCGAATTTGGCGCTATCGAGGTCGCCCGCACTGCAGACGCCATTGCCCCGAAAAAAAGGGCAATCGATAGCACCAAGCTTCAGAACATACTCCGTTCTATGCTATGTCAGCTAAAGAGACAGGTTGACGATGACTGGGAGGTAGTGAAACAGCTGCAAGTGGTGGGAATACAGCATGTTGGTAAGAAGCATAGATTCTCACTCTTTGGCTATTATCGTTATTGATTCCGGCCAAGGTTTCACTATCCAGATTTCTCGTATGACTGCCGTGAGTAGTAATGTCTTCCTGCTTCAGCGGGGCCATTTGCGGACTGTCCCCACAACCCTTGAGAAGTTCCATTCCGTCTTTGAAATCATGCAGTCCATGGTTGTGACCAAGGTACGTCTCTCGCTTATATACAACTTTCTTTCCATCAAGGGCTGACACTTTGGATCAGAAAATTCTCGAACGTTCAATGGCAGTCATTACGCGATACAAATCTAATATAACCGAGGGCAAAGAACAATTTGAAGATTTTGAACTCTGAAGTTATTGTCTCTCTGACCCGCTGGGAGAATACTAATATATTAACCCTCAACAGCCAGTAAAATCTAAACCCGCAGTCTTTACAGTCGGTGCGCATGACATGCGAGTGCTTCGCTTCACGTAGTCTTATCACTTGTTAGAGCTGTAAATCTTTAGCTCATAATTCCATCGTGTTGCTCTATTAAGAATACAAAATAAAATCTCCAGTATTCGTCTTGTATCCCTGCATATTTCCGTTCCAAGTTGAGTTTCGAGCAATTAATAAGATACTTGCGAACCCCTCCCTCCGAACCAAGTGGGCAGGCCTGCCAAAGCGAGAGGACAGAAAAATAAGTCAGTTATCTTTTTACTTAACTGCTCTTGCAAGTCTCACCATATTCTCTCGCCGCTTAGCGCCACGGACTATTCCCCAACCGCAAACCTCAACCCCTAGCCCAGACTTCATCGAGTGCTCTCCTAGCGTTTTCCGTTATTAAGACTTACACGGGAATCTCGAACGGCATATACTTTCTAAGCGTTTGTATAACTCCATGTCAAAAATCCTGGGACAAGCCCCCGTAGCAACTCGCGCTTGCGTTGTCCCATGATTTTTGAACGAGAACTATACAATATAACTTCAAAAGACAGAAAGTGTCGGCCGCAGCCTAGACTGAAAGGATTAAGCGTGAGAGCAGTGAAAGATGTTCCAAGCCACTGCAAGTGATGGAAATTGATATCCTATCTTAATAGCGTGACATACGTAGGGCACTGCTATTTAACCTGCCTCCGAGTTAAATTTTATGCCTAAACGCTGATCCCCCCCAAGCGGCGGCCGAGGCCGAAACTCGTGCTGCGGCAGTCGAGTGCGGCAATCTCCGAATCATGAGACATCACTCGGAACGCTCGTTCCTTACATGACCGCCCCGCGCTCTGGAACTAAGTACTTGGTGGCTAGGGTAAACAGAACCGCAGTGGTAAATACTCGTTGTTCACTGAATGCGGTGTCCAGAATTATCTTGGCGGATTACTCGGACCATACTTCAGTAATCTTGAGTCTATATGTGGTGAGCGCACTGCAACCCGCAGTCCAATCAAAAGGCTAGAGGTACAAGACAAAGTCAGGAAGTCCAACTTATTTATCAAAGTTACAGCGAACTCTTCAGCCCGACAACCTTGAACAACATGTATCTTCTGCTCCTACGCAGAGTTCACTAAGACGAGTACATGTTGTATGTAGGTACACTCGACAATATACATGGTACCTACAGACCTTGGCGGTGTCATCTCATCAGACCAGTTATCCTGGGTAGCCTTGGCACAACCCCAATTGGCCTTGCATAAGTGCATTGCATACTCTACATGATGATGTACATATGTAGGTACAAAAGCCGCCACCGGAACAAGCTTTGTTGATGCACGTACCCAAAGCTTAAATCCTTTACCGACAAATAGAATCTACAAACCTCGGTGGTGAATTGTCCCCGCAGTCGCAATCGAGGTCGGATATCGGCGCTTAAGCCCGGCACTCTCGGCTGAATTGGGGTTACAGGGGGAAGATCATGCCCACATGTAGAATAATCGTGGAATTTAAACTGGACACGGTCATCATTTCTGTAATATCGGCGAACCCCCGCGCCGAAATCCAAATAATTGGTGATCAACAGTATTGTTTTCGGCTATCTAGTGCATTATATGGAAGATTCTATATGCGCGGATAATATTAAGTCCGTTTTCTCAGTAATAATTGAAGAATCCCCGTAGATAGCTTGATCCGTGAGCTTTAGTTGCCTTCTTGCGGGGGTTAACCTCGGGTACAACTCATTGAAAGACGTATACAAAGTGTGAATAATGATATAAAGCAAATGAACTTTAATGAAAAGACAGATTTTGGATCAGCCACTATCTCTATTACTAGCTTCTCATCAGTGAACACCCTCGAAACTTAATAAACGTCTTCCAAGATACCCAACGATATCCTATAAAATGAGCTCGAGCCAAGAAACTCCAATCAAAATTGTATGTGCAACTACCGTCCTAAACTCCAACCATTCGAGCTAACGATTGATTTATAGGCTGTCATCGGGGCTGCGGGGCTCATTGGAGTTCGCCATGTTGACCATATTTTGCAAGAGCCTTTGACAGCTCTTAGTGCACTTGTGGATGCCTCTCAAACAGACCGCACGAAGGAGTTGGCCAATGAACACTCTGTTCCGATATTTAAAACCACAGAAGAACTTCTTGCAGCCCGTGCTGAAGGAAAAATCGTTGTCGATGCTGCCATTGTTGCAACTCCAAATAATACCCATGTCCCAATTGGTACCCTTCTTATCGAGAACGATATCACGGCGCTGGTAGAGAAGCCCATAGCAGCTGATAGTTCTTCTACGACTGCCCTACTCGAGGCATTGGAGAGGGCCAAGGGACGTGGCTCGTCTGCAGCGGTTCTTGTCGGCCATCATAGACGCTTCAATACCTATATTCGTGCCGCAAAAAAAGCAATCATCAGCGGGATACTTGGCAAGATTGTTGCGTTCCAGGGGACCTGGGCCTTGTTGAAGGATCTCAATTACTTCAAAGACGAGTGGCGTACGCAAGTTGGGACCGGCGGACCAATTCTTGTCAATTTGGTGCACGAAATCGACAATTTGCGTTATCTTTTCGGCGATATCGAGCGAGTTTACGTTGAGAAAGGGATGTCTACTCGGGGCTACGAGGTGGAGGAGACGGTGGTCATGACAATGCGATTCGGCAGTGGGGTTGTTGGGACATTCATCGTTTCCGACTGCTGTGCATCGCCGTACAACTGGGAATCGGCCACAGGCGAGAGTCCATACATCCCCAAATTAGGCCAATCCGTATACACTATTCTAGGCACCAGAGGCTCTCTCTCGCTTCCGGAGCTTCGTCGCTGGCATTACGACTCGGCCAATGGTAACGGGAGCTGGTACAATGAGATGGAATACGACGATAGCCTGAAGTCGGAGATCGACGATGTTATGCCTCTTACGCTGCAGCTACAAGACTTCGTGAAAATGCATAAGGGAATGAAGGAGCCCAACTGCTCGGCGCTAGAGGCCTGCAAATCTCTGATGGTCGTTGAGGCAGTTGCAAAGTCTATGAACACTCAGCAACCTGTCGAGGTCGGAAAACCGGCTTCGAAACTATAAAGCAGGCGTGTATTTACGTGTGGATATGAGGTGGCAGAACGTACATGTGTGTATCTAATAACCTGACACATTATATTGTAGAGTACTTTGCAATCTTGCAGTTATTTAAGAAATTCGTTATTTTCGTGCAACTACATACGTATATTGCTATTAAGTACGTCCTAGTACACATGTATGTTCATGTGGACCTAGGTATGCATGGCTGGCCAATATCATTCACTCGGTTATGAGACCACCCTTGTAATATTACTCCGTGCACGCCGTGACTAGTGCAGGGGAGAGGTTAGTCCACAGAGATCGAGCAATGGAAGTTTGAGAATCCCAAAATAAACAAGACTCAAATTCATAGTTCATTGTAAATGCACATGTACATGTAGTGCTACATCGCGCTAAGATGTAGTTAGAATCGACCAGTAGACGACCGTTGTAAACGAGTGTGTGTGTGTATGCATATGTTGCACAATACATGTGTAAATACTAGTACGACGTAGAGTACATACATAGTAGCTGCACAAAGTCTCGCCTCCATTAGGTTTCTTAAGTATCAACTCAGGATTTCCCAACGCTGATGCTATTAATTGCTTCCGGAGGAACCCTTCTGCAGCACAAATCAGGTAAAAGTGACATGTATCGAATACTCGGGTCAGAAGTATTACTTGAGGACGGCTGTTCGGCTTGGCTCGTCCTTGGCCTCCTACTATTGGGTGTTGCAAGGGCTGCGCGAACAACCCTGTCGAACCTCCACAGCCACACCATACGAATGGGGAAAATGTAAATTGGTTTTTGCCTCAAAGACAAGAATTATCCTGGAGCATATGACTGCTATAAGTCCTAATTTGTTTCGATAGATCTGCAATAGTATGCAGGAACATTCATGGGCAGCAGTCTCTGGTCCGCGGGTTGGAATTGCATGGATTACAGATACAGTTGCATGAACATGCATAGATATTAAGGATTTCCCCCAATCATCACGTCTTGAATTCAGCCTCACTGACCCCACACTATCATCCGAATTAACTCCTTTTGAAGCAAGAAGCTTAGGCCTCAATTCAAGTGACGAACATTTTACTCTGTTCCATTGTCGAATCATCACCGGTAATCTTGATGCTAATTTCGTCGTTGCTATTGCTGTCGAAATCCTCGAGTGTGAAGTGGATTTGGGGACCATAGTTCTTTCTCGTAGGCTAGTATCTGAGATGTCTTACTCGGGAGACGATACAACGAGGCCTGCTACTCTCAGATTGTCAGGCGATGTTGGCACCATAATCAGTCATGCAAAGCTCAAGTTCTAGTGACAAGTTGAGTTTGTTGATATCAAAGACAAATATATAATGAGCAAGTCTTACCTCTGGATTTCCTCATCTCATCAGCTTCCAGTTCTTCCTTTCCACCATCAACTCCTTCGATCAGACTTCCATCTCATCAATTTCTCGAGTTGAAACTTCTAGAGGAAAAAGAATCAAGATGTATTTCAGTACTCTTCTCGCCACGGCATATGCCTTTACAGCCGTTTCCGGTCATTTCATGAAGCGCCAAGTTGAAGCTGGACTTATTCCGTTACTCTCATCTAATGCCAGTATCTACTACCCTATGGATAGCGGATTCACGGTTTCCAGCGAACGATTCACAGAGCTCAATCGCCCTGATTTCCAACTGGTAGTACATGTTGCTTCTGAAGATGACGTTGTAGCTACTGTATGTCCCATCCCACTTGAAGACCCCCTCCGTCCCTCCAAGCCTGTCAGTTTCAGATTTCTTACTCAGTAATAGGTGCAATTCGCAACAGCAAACAACATCACTTTCCTTGCTAAGAGCGGCGGTCACGGCTTATCTACATCATTGTCTCGTGTCCGCAATGCTATCATGATTGACATGAGAGGATTGAATTACGCCAGATATGATAATGCGACTTCTCAGGTGACTGTCGGCGGTGGTATTACAACCGGTGAAATGATCAACGCAACCCACGCTGTAGGAAAAGAGATCAGTATGTTCTTCCCCACAATTGTAACGAGAGAATCAACTTCTCTGACCTTGAATAGCTGCTGGATCTTGTCCTTGTACTGGTGTGCTGGGAGTTACCATGGGCGGTGGTGTTGGCCGTTTGATGGGAAGGCACGGGTTGATCATTGACAACCTCGTTGAGATGCGCTATGTGCTCGCCAACGGTACCGCGATCACACTCAATAATCAAACGGATCCCGAGCTCTGGTGGGGTGTACGTGGTGCCGGTCAGAACTTTGGTATCGCAACTTCAGCAACATATCAAGTTTATGACCAGGTGAACAATGGAATGCATTACGCTGTGGATATGGAGTTCTCCATGAGCCAGCTTCATGATGCTCTCGATGTGATCAATGCTCAGGCCGATGAGCCTTTGGATGAG